CCTGGCCTGCGGGGCCTCCTCCGCGCACGGCCGCGCACGGAGGGCAGGGGCCCGGCGTGCGGCACCGCCCGCCGTCGTCCGCGGGGGCCGCGCGCGGAGGTGGCGAAGGGAGGCGAGGCGAGGCGACCTCCCGCCTCCTCCTCCTCCTCCTCCTCCTCCTCCTCCTCCTCGGTTCGCCCGTGAGGGCGGCCGCGCGCGGGGCTGGGAGTGGGCGCCGAGGCGCCGCTCATTCAGTCGAGGGCGAATCTGTCTCTGTGTGTACGGTGCACATAACCGCCCTCCAATTGTAACCACAAGCTGCTGTCTGGCGCACATAGGTGGCGCGCGCAACATCGGATCGGAGCTGTAATCGGTGGCTAGCGAGGGGCGAAGGCCAGCTCGAGTCAAGATGATGACGGGAGCCAAGATGGCCACGGGACGGGGAAGGAGGAGGAGGGAGGGGGAACGGAGGAAGATGGTATCACTCAGGAGGGGGGAAACGAGGAGGAGGGATGAGGAGATTCAAGGCTCAAGACTCCAGGCGTGGCGAGGCTCGCACGTGGGGGCCAGGTCCCAATGAGGGGGGACGGGGAGGGAAGGAGGGAATGATCGGGCATACGACGTATGCGACCATGCGGGCCGCGCTCCAAGCGCCTCTCGCTGTGGCGAGACTGGCGTGCTCATCCCTCTTCGCCGAAGCACCTGAGTGCTAGTATCACCTGCAACTTGCAAAGACGCTCCCACTGCACAAACTCACCAGGAGAAACAGAACCGTGAAGTATGGCGACGCTGGTGGCATCAAGGCTGGGGAGGCGCAGCATAGGTCCACCTGCCTGCGGGACCTCCCCCAACGCGGCGGACTGGCTCTCCGCCGGCGCGGATCCAACCTCGGCTGATCCTCAGAACGTGTGTTAGCGCCAGCGTGTACTTGTCCACCGAAGCCCTTCGTTGCGACCTAGTGAGGACGGACGCAGGCAGCGCGCTAACGATGGAGCTCAACAGGGGCGCGCTGACGATGGAGCTGAACAGGGCAAACACACGCACACACACACACGCACACACACACACACACACGCACACACACACGCACACGCACGCACGCACGCACGCACGCACGCACGCACGCACGCACGCACACACACAGACACACACACAGACACACACACACACATACACACACACACACGCGGCACACACACACACATACACGCACGCGCGCACGCACGCACGCGCACGTGCACCCACCAACACACACACACACGCACACACACACTGACACAAGCAAAAACACAAGCACAAGCACAACCACAACCACACACACACACTTTTTGGCGTCGCGGCCTCGCGCGCAGCGATATGGTGTGGAAACGCACACACCCATACACACTAGAACCATCACGCGCGCTTCGCGCGCGCTCAAATTCTAGCTAGCTTCTTTGGGCCTCCTCGGAGCATCCGGGACTGCTTCTTGAAATCGTCATGGGACCTTCTTGGCATGTCTTCGGGGACCTCTTAGACGGAGTTTTGAAACCTTTCTGGTGCCGTCTTGTGGCCTCTTGGAGTCTCTTTGGGGCTTCTTGCAGGCCTCTTGGGGCCTCTTGGGGGCCTCTTGGGGCCTCTTGGGGGCTTCCTGGGGACTTCTTGGGGTATCTTAGGGGCATCTTGGAGCAGAGAGCTTGATTTTTCAATTCGCGTTCCCTCTCTTGGGCCCCTCTTGAGGCCTTCTTGGGGCCCTCTTGCACCATCTTGGGCGGCTCTGGGGCCGTCTCAAGGCTCTCTTGGGCCGTCTTGGGGCCCTCTTGGGGGCCTCTTGGGCCGTCTTGGAGCGGCTTTGGGGGCCTCTTGGGCAGTGTTTTAGCGCCAGAAACACGAAACAGCGAGAATGCAAACAACATTGACAAACAAAAACTATGAAAATCAACGATTTTGTCCTATCGGGGCGCTCTCGGGCGGCATCTTACAAGCCTCTTGGGGCGTCTTGGGGGCCTCTGGGGCAGTTTAAAACGCATCGTGTGTCGCCAAAGACCCCTGGACAGCGTCTCGAGACCGCCTGGGGCCGCCGGGATTGCTGTCTGAGGGCTCCCCGGGGCGATTTTGGGCCCCAGTCCCCACATTTGTGGTCGAGGTTCCGGCCCTCGACCCCCGAGCCCGGTGCGCCGTTAATGTATACACGCAGGGCTGACAAACTTCCCGAGGAATAGTCGATGCGCGCTCCCTCGCTCAACACTGCTTGCGTTGGGGCAGCGCACGCTGTTGAAAAAACAGGTCTCGAGGTGGGACGGCAAAGGGCGAATCAGTAGCATCCAGTCGGGTTTCCCAGCGCCCTCCAGCGCTTGAGTCAGCCCCGCATGTAGGACATATCCCTAGCGGCTGGCCCGGCACCAGCTGCATGCAGCAATTCTCTTACGACCCCCCTTTTCCCGACCCGCCCCTCTTCTTCGCCCCGAAAGTCCTCCTCCTTCTCCTTTACGCTGCCCCCACTTGGGTGCGCCGAAGAGAGAGGGGCCGGGAAGAAGGCCCGGGGCATGTGCGTGGACGGGAGCGGGGGGCCAGAGTACGCATGGAGTGAAGAAGAGGGGTGCTGACATCTGGCCTGGGCCATGACATCCACACACCCCTACACTGCCCTGGACAAGAAATGTAACCTGATTCGTCGATGTATTTGTTCTCGTCGCCTTCGGTTCTTCGTAGGATGTACCATCTGGAAGCCGTTTTCGGGTCCCTGGCCCGTCAGACACGGATCCAAGATGAACAACTAACTCCATGGAAGTTCGCTGGACGATTCTTCGACACGACCTGCAATCAGCGCATTGGTTTTCCAGAGCGGTGTAGTCCTCAACCCCCTCCAAGCGAGTTGAGACAACGGCAGATCAAAACTGGCCCACGATCCCTCCCAGGGTCCAAACGCACCAATTGTTCGAGTTGCGTCCAGCTGTGGCGACAAGGGGCCTCCGAGGGCTGAGCATCGTTACCTCCACTCGCCCTCCTGTGACCTTCGACGCCCCCGACCCACCCGCGCTGTCCCCCCATCCGTCTCGGCGCCTGCGGGAGCGCCACCGCGGCCAGCGACTCTCGCCAGGAGGTGCCCCAGCAGCGGGCGGCGGGCCACGCCGCTGTGCCACCGGGAGGCGGCCCGATAGCGCACGAGGTCGGTGCCGCCTCTTGGTGGTCCCCAAACGTGGTGGTGAGAACACCTGGTGGTGAGTTTTGGGCGATTTGGGTAATGGTTTTCGAGCGCTGGCTGGCACAGGAAACGCGAAACCTCGTGGCGACCGCGTGTCCCCAAACCCGGTGGTGACCCAGAATTATTTTTTGGGGGAATCGGGATCACCACCGGGTGTCTCACCACCTGGTTTGGAGACCACCAAGCCTCCCAGGCTGTCCAGGACAAGCCCGGCGGTGTCCTCGGCCAGGACCAGCGGTCGGCCTCGGCGGCGCTCCTCGGGAGCCCCGCGGCGCGCAGGCCGAGGCAGCACGGGGGCCCTGAGCGCGGCCATCCCTGAGCCCAGACGGCTGCCGCGACACGGGCCCACATGGGACGCACAGAGACATACTAATACTATATGTCCGCCTTGAAGGCGCGCGTCCGACCCGAACACGTAGTATACCCATCTTGTAGTATATCGCTTCTTAAGCGGTGTGGCCAGGAAGCGCCCGCCACGGCGCATATGCTATAAGATTTCTCCGTGCGCGCGTCGCCCCTGGGGAGGCGACGAACACATAGTGTAAGTATGTTGGGGGGACGCCGACCACAGGGCGAGCCGCTCGGTGCAGCTGGCACGCACTTTCAACCTCCTGGCCGTCGGAGCAAGTGTGGCAGCGAGAGCCCACTCCGAGGCCGGGAGCTGCAGGCCTCCCTCTGGCTGCTGCTGCAGGCTGCTGCGACGAAGGTCAGCGGCGCGAAGGCGAGAGCCCCGCTCTGAAGACGAGCCGCCCTGCATCCCTGCAGTTGCTGCGAGCTGTTGAGACGGATGCGTGCCACGTGAAGGAGGGAGCCCCAGTCTGAAAACGAACGTGCATCCGCCCCTGCAGCTGTGACAAGCTGTATCCTTGCAACGGTTGGGACTTGCAAGCTTCGGGGCCATCAACTCCAAACAAATCTCAGTCGAAACGCACGGTCTGGCCCACCAGCACGTCTGGTGCTGCGACAAGGATGGGCGATCTATAGGAAGAAGGGATGGAGGAGGATAAGCTGGAAGGGTAAGTATGTATCAGGCGGAAGGAGGAGGGATGAGGCGATGGAGATGGAGAAGTGGGAGGATGAGTAGGAGGAGATAGAGGAGGAGGAGGAGGAGGAGGAGGAGGAGGAGGAGGAGGAGGAGGAGGAGGAGGAGGGGGCTGCGCTGGGGCGTCGCAAGTCTGTAGGTCCCCCCTGTTCGCTTCAACGCTCAAGCCGCAATCCCGCCCAATGTGCTACCGCAGACCTGACTCTCCCGGCAGTGTGTGATCTTGTCGGCATCGTGGTCCTTCTGCTTCCCCAATTCCCTTCTCATCTTTCGTCTTGTTTTTTCTTTCTGACGCACTCTCGGCCGAAAGGATCCCCAACACCCCATCTGAAAACGATGCCAACCGCGAAAGCCATCTCTACAGAGACGGCCGACCCCTCCCGTGACCTCCCCGCTCGACGACGGCGCTCCTCGCAAGGCGGGCACAGCGAGCCCCAGTCCTGGCCCCCTGCGCTGACAAGCGTAGGTGAGCGACACGGCCGAATTATTGCCATGCGGTGAAAGGCTTGGCGACTACGTTGGGTCCATGCAGGAGGAGGGATGGGGGAAGGGGGTGGGGCAGGGAGAAGAAACACGAGGAGGAGCAGGAGGAGGGGAGGAGGAGGGCCAGCGTCTATAACGAAGGGCGATGGTGATGGTGACGGTGGTAATGATGACGACGGTGATTGTGATGCTGATTATGATGCTGCTGATGGTGATGATGGTGATGATGATGGTGATCGGATCACGAATTGGAGGATGAGAGGCAGCAGTATGGAGGATTACAATAATGATGAGGAAAATGCTCGCTCCATACACCAGCCTCCCATGAGGAAGACGACCAGCCGCTTTTTGACGGTCGCGAGATCCGGGGAAAGCCCCCAGAGTCCGAATACGGCGACAAACCCTGGGACCCACTTCCCTCAAAATACGCTCGCTTTATCCGAACCGCGCGCGCAGCGGGGCGGGCGGCCTTCTGAGAAAGTGGGCGGGCTTGTCAGAATGCAGGGGCCTTCTCAGAAGGGCCCTGGACCTTCCGTCGCGGTGGTGCTCACGACTGCCAAGGGTTGAGCCGCAGCCCCCTCTCGGTGCGCGTCGCCAGCTTGGCACGAAGGAAACCGGCCCTGGTGGAAGCGGGTCCTGGAGACCCCGGGCTTCTCCCAAGACCAGCTCTTCCTCCCAGATCGTTCTTTGAGAAACCTGGGGCCCGTGAAGGGCCCCGAAGGCCAAAGGCGGCAATCAAATCAGGACCCGTTTTCCTCAGAACCCGTTTCCTTCATGGCGAGCGTGGCGAGCTCACTGTCGCGGCACTCCACCGCCAGCCGGTGGCTTTGCTCGCGGCGCGAGGGTCAGGGGTCGAGACGCTGCCTGGCGGGCGGCCTGCCAGCCACTGCGCTGCCGCCCTGCGCGCCCCCCCCTCCTCGCAGGTGCGCCCGCAAAGTGTGGCCCGCAGGGCTCCAGCGCGCACAGCAGCTCTGGCGGCGGCCACCAGCAGGACCAGAAAGGACTGCACGAGCACCAGCGCTCGACGGTCCGCGCGGCTGTCCTGGATCTGACATGGGCACCCCTCCCTGGCGCGCGGAGCGCGCCAGGGGCGGCGCTGGAGGCGCCGTCAGGGGAGTCCAGCGCCGATCCACCAAGAAATCCGCGCGGACCTGGGAAAATGAAGGCTTACGCAATTTTTCCTCCGTCGGCGTGGAGAACTCCGGGCTGCGCATCGAGCCGCAATGCCGATGCCTCGGCCGTGTGGCGCGATCCGCCGACCCCGTCTGCCTGGGACCCCTATTCGAGGCCTGGGGGCCTTCTCGGCGGCGCGCAGGGGGGGTGTATGGGGAGGGGGAAGGCCTCTTAGAAGAAGGCCGTTTCTTAGACGGCGCCAGCCCTACAGTCATCGGCCTGACCTAAGGAACGATACATAAGGAACGAGGCCCCTTTCTTCCGAGGAATAACGCATAGGGAACGATGAACAAACAATACATAACGCACAGGGAGCGATATATAACGCATGCAAAACCTAAGGAACGACCGAGCCCTTTTTGAAAAGTAAGCGTTCCTTATTCAAGCCGCTCACTGTACATGCACGGACGAGGCCCGCGCACTTTGAGGAGCAGGGGTGCTTGTAAAGCGGGCTTCCCCCCTCCCCGCAGCCCCTCCGCGCGCGGCCGCTCTTCAAGGCTTCCCCCTGCCGGTCACAAGGGGCACTCCGTCGCCGGCCGTGGCGGCGCCCTACAGTCGGGGCGTTGACCCAAGGAACCCTAAATCAGGAACGAGGCCCCTATTTTCCATAAGTTAAACTTCGATTTCACATCGAAAACCGCAAGCTGCGAAACTATCAAGGAACACGGAGCCCCTGCCCAACGAAAAGGGTTCCTTCTTCAGGGCCCCGACTGTAGGCGAGGTCGTGTGCGTGGGCCTCGCCCGCCGGAGCGGGCGGCAGGAAGCGCGGAGGGGGGTGGCTGCGCCGCCGAGGGCAGGGCGTGTCCACGGCCTGGAGCGCGAGAGTGAATCCAGGTGGTCATCGGCTGGGGGCTCCAGCTGGGCGAACCTCCCTGTCATCCAGCCGCTGCATCTTTTTGGAGCCAGGCGTTTTCGCCCGGGTTTCGGGACCCAGGGCTCTCACATATCGGTCCAGCTCGGACAGTGGCGCAGAAAGATGGGCTCTGGGCTCTGGTCGTGACTTTTCGTGTTGTTGCATGTCCATCGCAACGTCGGATCTCAGGGAGCGTATCATGCCATAGACGGGGAGATGTTTCCCTCATGAGCGACAAAGAACGCCGAGCTCACGCCGACTGCTGGCTGCTAGAGGTCTGGATCCTCTTCGGAGTGTCCTGCACCCTTGGGAAATAGGACGAAATCCGTTGCCCCCTAGGAGGGCCATCCCGCTCGCGCGATCAGCAAACTCGCGCACCGCGGAGGGCAGAAACCAATGGCAGTCTGAGCGGTCGCAACTGGCGCCAGGCAGCGCGACCCGTAACGTGTCGCACCCCAGAGGCGGGAAGATCGTCCCGGCGAGGTGCACCAGAGAGGCCACGGCGGGCCGACGTCATGGTCCTCTTCGGGGTCGGCGGCACCGGCCGTCAGGCCTTCGCAATCAGTTGCAATCTAAGCGGTCGCAGCCGGCGCAAAATTGCAAAAAAAACCCAGGATTGCAAAACAAACCGGATTGCAAAAAAAAAACAAGATGCAAAAAAAAAACCGGATTGGAATCCTTGGGTTTTTTTTGCAATCCTGTTTTTTTTTGGAATCCAGGTTTTTTTTGCAATCCTTCGGGTTTTTGTTGCAATCCTTGGTTTTTTGGCAATCCTTCGTTTTTCTGCAATCCTTCAGGCAGCGCGCCCCGTAACGTGTCGCACCCCAGGGGCGGGCAGAGCATCCCGGCGAGGTGCACGAGAAAGGCCACGGCGGGCCTCCCCATCGGGCGGGGCTAGATCGGCCTGCCGGCCGCTCCTATGGGCACGTCCACTTCGGTGGCCGTGCTCATCGCCTATATACCCAAGTATATGGTCTGCAGCTATACATAATATGCACATACACATGTATATTCGTGTATATATATGTATATATAGGTTACTAGAACCATCGCGCGCGCTTCGCGCGCGCTCAAATTCTAGCTAGGCTTGATGGGCGAACGCATGGAATATCATCCTTGTCGTATCTTGCATCCAAGGGCTCTCTTGGAGGCCCTGTGCAAGCCCCAGAATCGTGTAGAAGGGAACTGCGGAAACGCACAAATCATTAATTGCCGTTCGGTGTTCAACGATTTGGGGCCCTCGAAGGCTTCCTGTGCTCTTTTCTGGGGCCATCATTGTGGTCTGTTGTGCAAGAATAGGCAAAGGGCAAACTTGGAAAAAACCGGAATGGTGGGATTTCCCTTTTTTTAAGTTGTAGTGCCTGGGCTGTGGGTTAGACAATTTCTGCATGCAGGTCACGGTCTGTTGGGATGCCTCTCGGGGTCTTCGTGCAAATAAGCATGGGGTGAGTTTGAAAGAAAGGGATTCGATAATTCCACTGCTTCAATTCATGGGATCATGGAATCTCCATTTCTACAATGGTTTTAGGGGCAGCCAAGAGGACACGAAGACGATCCAAGAGAGTGCCAAGACAGCGCCAGAGAGTTCAACAGCATTCCCGAAATATTTTTGCATGTGGCCCCGAAGTCTTGATGGGGCTCGAGGAAGAGGATAGGGAGTAGGAGTCCCAACTTGAAAAAAAAATAATCTCTGGAAATCCTGTTTTTCCTATAATTTCCTCGGTCTTGGAGCGTTGGAAGCGGGAAACCGTGAGAAGGCGAAAAACGTCGACAAAAACAATTGAAAACCAACGATTGTACCATCTTCGGGCTCTCTCGGGACGGCTCTCGAAGCTCTCTTGGGCTGTTTGGGGGGCCTCGTCGGGTATTTATTGGGAGCCTATCAGGGGTCTGGGGTGTGTTGGAAGCCTCTGGGGGGTCCCGGAGTCCCCTCAAAGGTCTCTAGAGGCCTCCTCCTCCCGCTCTTGGGATCAACTTGGGCCTGTTCTGGGGCTGTCTGGAGCTGTCCCGGGCGCCTCTTCGGCAGTCTTGGGGCCGTCTTGGCCCGTCTTGGGGCCGTCCTGGGGGGTTCTTGGGCAGTCTCGGGGCCCTATTCGGCCGTCTTGGCGCGTTGGAAGCACGAAATAATGAGAAGGTCAAAAACCCGGAACAAAAACATTAAAATTAACGACTTTAGGTTCCCCGGGCGCTCTCGGGAGCCCTCTTGGATCTCTCTTGGGCTCTTTCGGAGGCCTCCTGGGAGCCTGGAAAGCCGCCCGAAAGCTATCCTGGGTTGCTTGGGAGCGTCTTGGGCCTTTCTTTGACGTTCTGGGGGCTTCTTGGGGTCGTCTTGGGCTGTCCTTGGGCGTTTCGGGGGCTCCCCGGGAGGTCGGGAAGCGAGGTACCCGGAGCGTTGGGGGCGCGCATTTGTTGAACTTGGGGAACAAATCGCCAAAATTTAAAACATAAAAAAGAAGGGTGTATCTGAAATTCCTTCTTCTTCTTCATTTTCCCTACCTAGGCTCTGCCTAGAAGGGTTCTTACTCTGTAGCTTAAAGGGGCCGGGCAGTGGGAACCGCCCTGGGCGGTTCCCCCAGTCCCCTGGGAGCCAAGCAAAAGCAATAGCAAAGGTAAAAGCAAACGCGCGGTTCCCCCAGTTGCGCCTCCTGGGTGCCAAGCAAAAGCAAAAGCAAAGGCAAAAGTGAAGGCAAAAGCGAAGGCAAAGCAAAAGCATAGCATAGCATAGCATAGCATAGCATAGCATAGCATAGCATAGCATACATAGCATAGCGCTGCATAGCATAGCATAGCATAGCCTAGCCCAGCCTACCCCCGCATAGCATTGCGCAGCATAGCATAGCATAGCATAGCATAGCATAGCATAGCATTAGCGCAGCACAGCATCCACTAGTGCTGCTGCTATATATATAATAAGATCGGTACACACTCCGGGACGCGTGTGCCGCTACTACTACTACTACTACTACTACTACTACTACTACTACTACTACTACTACTACTACTACTACTACTACTACTACTACTACTACTAATAATAATAATAATAATAATAATAATACGACTACGACTACGACTACGACCTACGACTGCGACTACTC